AGACTAAAGCACCTGCAAAGCCGCACTTAAACCAAATCTCATGCCTCCTGCCTAGGTACTGTCACCTACTGACACAAATGAACCTCGCTCACAGATGTGTAGTACTGAGATGCACAGCTCACCCCTGCAGCACACCTATACACCAAGGGGAAATTGCTGCTCAGTTACTGCAAGAGAAACAGAAAACCTATGCTGGTTTGTAACAGGAAGGTATCAAACCTACTATTAACTACAGCAAAATTAACTCAGTCAAAGTTCTTAAGGAAAATATTTCCAAGCTTAAAAGCAAAGATTTCATGCTAAACACCAGGTACATCCACTTCATTCACTGATGTGGACAACTTATTTTATGTATATGTATCATGAAACCTACAGTAAAAACATGGGAGTGATGCAACCTCTGTGCTCTCACCCCTAGTCGGTTCAGAAGCACTCGGAGATTTCATTTCTTCAGGTTACTTTCTGCCTGGGGTTGGGCTGTAAAACAGCACAGATTGATCACAAGCAGGTGTTAGCACACAGCTTCACAAGCACACATGACATGAGTGTTGCACCAGCTTGGAACAGGGACAAACCTGCCCTAGGACTGCCAGCCCCTGGCCAAGATGGGGAATCTCTAACAGCAGCAATTACAGGCATAAAACTACATCTATCAAAATTGTCTGTTTCAGCTTGTTTTCTAAAGCAGATACTCTGAAACTGCAAAGCTTCATATATTTCCCATTTCAACAGTGAAACACTAATGACTTGAAATTATGCTTCAGCCTGAAGATGTTCTGTATTTCTGCTTAACATAGCAAGAAACAGCATCACTTTAGCATTTCCCATTTTTCATAGCTTTAATTTTCTAGACTCCAAGCTGATACCAGTCATCTTTTAAAAGAAGGTACCCTACTTAAAACACTCTTCTTTTTCATGGAACTATTTCAGCCTGCTGCACTTGGAGCACATAAGATAGAAAACCAGATGGCAGTTTCAGCTGGCACACGGTGGGAAACTGCTGGGTGGGAATTTTCCCTCATCTACTCCAGAAGCTCTTGGAGACAGATCACAGTATTTCAGAACTTATTTGTGCTTCTGGTGTCATGCCCCTACATAATAGAAGTGGATAACACTGCTACAGTGAAAACTTGTCTTTTCTGCTCGGGGGCAAATTTTGGCAGCTTGCAGTACAGAGCAGGGAAGCACAGGAGCTTACACACAGAATTTTAAAGAGGTTCTTTTGTATGTAATGAAATTCTGTGCACATCTGTACATCTTTTTGGAGACAGAGACATGTCTTTTCTGCTTGTGCTCTACAGCAGAAGCAATATATCTGTGGTGCAGACCCAGCCTACAACAGTATGCTGCAGGAAGAAGCAGAACTTTCTTGCTTGTGCTGTGCTGCTGCAGCTATTTTTTCAGTATTTTTGACCAGTTTGCTCTTTCTACAAGTGATGATGATACTCACAGCCTTCAACAACCACTGCATAGATGCATTTCAGGCCAACCTGTGAGTAGACTTTAGTCAAAAAAGCAAGAGGGCATTGTCAGTCTTCAATTCTGTGATCTCAGAAAGCCAAGCAGCATTACAACAAACAAGCCTTGAGAGCAAGGGACAAACACCAACACAATGTGCTTTTTACATCAAACTCAGCCACTCTTCAAGGTCTTAGCCAGGAAGATGAAATCAGCACTTGATTTTCAGTCTATTCAAGTCACATTATCAATTCTAAGCTCCAACAGACTCACATTCCCCTTACAGCTGAGTTTATGTGCCAAATCATGTTTTCACATGTCACTTCCCAGACTTAAAGGGCATCGTTAACCAATCCAGCTCTTGTCTTTCAGGGCACAAATTTTTAGAGTTATCTTATTTTATCTGTTAGTCCTATCTGTCCATTTTATTAAGTTATGGTACCTCATCACATACTTAGATGTAAAACTTTAAGAACTAAGCCAGTACCCTATTTTTTTCCACTGCTCTAAACAGAATCCTTGCATCTGTAATATGAATCATTACTTATCATATGGTGTTATCTGTGGATGTTTTCACATGCAGATATTTTTACATAAGACTGAATTTACATAAGATCTTGCTTTGCATAAATGAGTTTCAGCCATGTATCAACCCCCAAATAATACCTACCCCTCCAACCTATCCTGTGATGAATTCACACAGTATTTCACTTGTACTGAGGCACTCCCCTGCATGATTTGAAAGTGTCGCTTTTGACTTCAAGAGCTTACAAATAAACAATGTTTCTGTATTTTGTCTATTAGCAGAGCACAAAAAGGCTGAAAAACAAAGACTCGCTAGCAATCCAGACATCAGAAAACAACCCATTTTCTACTTCAAGTCATTTAGGATTCAGCATCTGAATTTTCCTGGAGCTATGTGAAACTTTCTGGCCAGATCACCCTGACTGTCCTATGACTGAAAGGATACACCTACAAAATACCAAGGTCACCTTGGATAGCTCTGAAAATAAACATCCCCATAAAAGCACAAGCAGATGATTATGATTAGAATCAACTTGTCCACCAAAGTTCAAGCATTCTTGCAAAAGATTTTTTCATGATCATGTGCACTAAACTATAGTGAATGTAACCAGCCATAAGACACTTCCATATTGATTTTCCTTGACATTTATACCAAGGCAGCACCAACTGCAGAAGACAGCTGCCTTCTTCCTCTTAACCACAGCAAGAGTGGACTTACTGCAGCCCAATTCCTTCTAGCAAGAGCAGAAGGGCATGATTTTCTGCAGCAGTGTTGTTAGCAACCAGGCCAGGATAAAAAATTATTTCCTTCCACTGCCAGTGAACTGCCACTGCATTATCATTAGACTGGAATAATGGTATATGCCAGGATATAATTCAATAACAGAAAATTACATGCACCAGCTATTTACAGTGTTGCCACAAACTGTTTAGAGTCCAAGCACATATAATTTAGAGGTAACAAAACAGCTAAGTGCTAAGGATAAATCTGTGAAGGTGCTTCGTACTCTCCATACTTCCCCCACGTACCCAAATCTTTTATGTGGTGCTAACAACCTAAAAAAAAAAAAAGTATTCTGAAAGATATCAGAGCATTATGTGAACAAGACTCTATTTTCAAGATACACAAGGAAGATATTAATTTTAAGTCCTAAAGCACAGATGATCGTAAAGTGTTCCAGCATTTCCAGTAATGCACAGGTAGCCAGTTACTCTATACCTCAGAACAGTTTTGTGCACGGAGACTGTTCAATAACTATTTGCCAATTAACACAGTCCATGGATATGGTCCCAGAGAGTTAAGGCTTAGTTTACCTTATCATGCGACTCATTTTATCAAGTCAAATGTAACTAACCACCAATGCAAATAAGATTTGCTGCTGAGAATGGGTGCTTAGTGATATAAGTCTATTAAGATATTCAGAAAATTCCCTAGAGAGAAATAATCCATGGAAAAAGTCTACCAAGTAAAATTGTAATGAACAGTTTCTTAAAGCAAGCAAGGATATTTTTCATAAATCTAGGGAAATGGCTGCATTTAAGCCAGTTCACTATTGATCCTTATGAGTTTTCATCACCTAGTTAAATGAGAATTTTATTGAACTACAGTATGTAAAGTTATTTTACAAAATCAGTAATGGAAACAGCATTAGTCACGTACCAACCTCTATGCTCACATTCAATAAAAAGTCATTAGTTGTCAAAAACCTTAGTGGGAATCGCACTGAGAAGACGTGGTCAATAGGTTTTTAAGATCATATTTTAAAGAAAACCCATAGAAAGAAACAGACCCCCAAAAGAGAGAAAAAGCCATCCAGAGCTTTCAAGGGGAGGAAACCCAGGTCCCGAAGTGTGATGCTCCTGCCTGCCCAGGGATGGCTCTCGCGTAGGACCACAGGGTGACACAAACTGATGCCCACAGGTGACGCTGGTTAAGGAAAAAGGCGATTCTTTCCCTTTTCTCTCTAGGGCAAGAAGGAGGAAGACTATTACCCAGCAGAAGGAAGGAGAAGATCCACTGCAGCACGGCGACTGTCTGGATCCTCCTCTTTAGGGGGACGTTGATGGGGGCAAACTCGACCTTCATGCTGACTGCGGGAGAGCAGCGCGGAGAAGCAGGGAACTGCCGACTCCGGCTCCAGCCCGCAGCCGCGCCGCTCCGCCACCGGCAGCTGCGGCCTCTGTTTGTAGGGCAGAACGCGCCCCCCCTCCTACCGCCGGCGCTGCCCACGGCCGCTGCAGCAGGGTCCGGGTCCGGGCCCGGGCCCGGCCCCAGCAGGCGGGGACGAGAAGGCGTCCGCCCCAGCGCAGCCCGCCCAAAGCCGTCCGACACAGCTTCTACAGCGGCAGCTCTGAGCAACGAGCCGCGGCACCTGTCCCCGATTCAAATACACGGCACCAGGCAACAGGGGCGAAGGCTCCGCGGCTCTATTAGTGCGGACGCCGGTGACAAGCTGCGGTAGTTGCTCTTCTCAGGGCGGCCAGCGCCGCTTCCTGCCTTGCGTCCCCCCGCAGCATACGTTCGCGCTTAAGGCTCTTAAATTAAAGACCTTACGGAGGCTGACCAAGAGTTTACCTCTCTTGGCGCTGGGGATTAACCCTGCGGCTTCTAACTGACCCTGCACACGCACAGCCGCCTCCCGGCCTGTAACCGAGGTGACAAAAAGCTTCACTATGATGAGAACCCACCCCAAAACGCACCAAGGCGCCGTCCCGGTTGTGTGCATCTCCCCGTCGGCTCCCGTCCAGCGCGGGCGGCCCCTCACGCTGCTGGCCCCTGGACACCCACGCCAGCGGACGCCTCTAACAGGGGGAGGAGGTTCCCTAGCAACGCTGTAATGTCACCTCAGTAGCTGCCCGCCATGCTGCCGGTGCTCGGCGCGATGTCCGCCTCCTCCTGAATTGACGGAGACGGGCGCACCGGTTCCACGGGAGCCCGGCCAGGCTGCCTGTGCACCGTCAAGCTAGGAAGCGATGGGTCCGGCGGGCGTTGGCTGGAGGAACGGCGGGCGACCTTCAGGCAGCGCGGCGGAGGCGCCGTGTGGCGGGGGCCTGGCGTGCCTTGGCGCAGGCGCGGTGCCGGCGAGCGGCGTGCCACCATGCCGACTGTCAGCGTGAAGCGGGACCTGCTGTTTCAGGCGCTGGGCAGGACTTACAGTGAGTGGTGCGGGCCGCCTCACCCCGGGGATCCTCCACTTGCGCTTTAGGAGGCGGCCATGGGCCTGTCGGGCTGTTATTTTCGGTCACCGCGGCCGCTAGGCTGCGGTCCGCTGATCAGCCTTTCGCCGGCTGCCCGGGCCGGGCATTCCCTTGACGGGCGGCGATGATGGGGCATTGCAGCCTCCCCCTGACAGCACCGCTTTGTTCGGTGCTTACCCGGTGTCCACGCGGCTGAACTAACCCCCAGCGGAAGCCTGGACTTAAGACACACGGTGGGGTCCGTACCGGTGTCCTCCTTAGCCGTCTGCTGTTCCCTAGGCCACGGCCAGGCAGAGCCACGTGTTCTCCCTGGGCCCTTCAGTCTTTTTCCCACATGAACGCTGTCTGGACGCATGAATGAGTCCAAAGCGCTTAGGAGATCAGAAATGCGTGTTTCCGAATCGCGGCTTCTGGTTTAAGTTTCACCGTCTCTTTTAGGAGCTAGTTAAACCAAAAAAGCAGAGGGAAGAGGTGGGAGCAGGCAAAGCAAACAGTTAATACCATGCTTTCATTCAGTCCTTTCCTAGCTCTTTAGAAACATGACTTAACTATTTGGCTGAAAGACTGTTTAGGGACATGCAGCAGTTTGTCTGGCCCATTATGGAGTTGGTAGGCTCTTAAAACATATAGGTGCAAACCTCCCCTTTCAGATTAGGGTTATGTTACATGCTGTGATGCATTTGATGCAACCTCTGTATGACAAGCTGATCAATTAAAAAAGTAGTTGCTGGCAGAAGCTGGCCTGCTCCTCCCACTTGTTTTCATTATCTGTGCAGGCCAGAGTTGCTCTGACAAACTTGGCTGTGGAGCTAGTAGTGAAGCTAGCCTCTGAGGTTCAGAAGCCCTTGCTGTGACTATAAGAATAATTTGTTAATAAATGCAGTATGTACTAAAGAAGCTGCTACTCAGATGCAAATGTAAGCAAAAATCTTCAAATTAAAACAACTATTTTTCTTCCAAAATAGCTTCTATTGTTTAAAAACATTAAAAACAAAGAAAAAAATACATGTCTGAAGTCTGCTTATTAACCCCAATTCACCTTCTTTGTAGCTGATGAAGAATTTAATGAGCTTTGCTTTGAGTTTGGTTTGGAGCTTGATGAAATTGTGAGTAACATTTTTATTTATTACTTTTTTTCAGTAGATGTAGTGTACTGACAGCTTGTATATTTGCTAAGAGTTTTTACTGCATTATTTCCAACATATTCCCTGGCACAGTGTTGGTTGAAGCCTTCTAGCATGTACAAAAAGATTGCAGGCATATTGCTGTACTTCATGGAGGTCAGGAGTCAGTGCCTCTTGGTCTTCAGTCTCTGGCCCCATTTTATTTAGCAGCATAATTGTGGCCACAATGTATTGAACATATTTTACAAGATCTGTTAGGCTTTGTTTTGTATGCACTCTTCTGTACAATATCCACAAAAGCATATTTGTCCTGGACATTGTTACCTAAGTTATAACTAGATTATATTTAAAGTTTTGATTTGGATTCTGTACTTGTGAAAGTTTGCTAGCCCTGTGAACTGTGTCCATGTAAATCTTGTTCAAGTAAACCTGTTTTGATTTTTCTTTTTAATTTTAATTCATTGATCTCTTAATGATGTTTATCAAAAGACATCTGAACATCATGTGTTATGCTTTATTTCAGAATAGACTTGATATGACAAGTCATTTGCTGATCTGTTGCTAAAAATGTCTCAGTTCTCTACTGGGGTCTGCTAGCCTGGAGACAGGTGCTTCTATAATCCCTTTTGTTAAAATACAAATTCTAATAGTAAATTTGTCTTTTAGTGTACTGCATTACAGTCTCTGAATCTGAGAAATTTTTAGATTTTACATCATTTCTGGTATTCGGTGTGTCCATTCGCTTTATAAATCCAAATGACACTGTTAAACTTTCAATTTCTACAATTTCCTATTATATTATTTCACTATAACACTCCTGTCAAGGTTAAGATATTTCAGGTTAAAAAGACATCTCTGCTTAATTTCAGACATCTGAGAAAGACATTATAAGTAAAGAAAAAGGTGAAGACAGGGCAAAGGGTGCATCTGATGCTGTTCTCTATAAAATTGATGTTCCTGCCAACCGTTATGATCTTCTTTGCCTCGAAGGATTGGTCCGAGGACTGCAGGTCTTTAAAGAAAGGTAATGCAGAGTTCTGAGATTTTTCTGTGTTTTGGTATTTGTTTAAATATGATTCCATTTCTGGTCAATAAGCAAACTTGCCACTTGGTTGGATTTTGAGTACGATCTCATGTAGATCAGATTTGTCAGTTTTTTCTTTGGAGAAACTCTGTTGTATATTTTTGAAAAAGTAGACTAGAATGTTACTGAGGTTTGGATCTGTTCTAAAAATTTTTCTACTGCTGTTCCATTTGAGACTCACCCTCTGTAAAGAGCTGCAAAGGAACTTCCTTGTGATCCTCTGTAATAAATACCAAAACAAATCATTTATTTCACTTTCCTGCTATGACTTTATCTTCTTGAGTCCCTCAAGTTCAGTAATCTGCTTACCATCCCATAGAAAATAAGTTTTAAACAGTTAGCTAATTCACATACTAAGAAATGTTACTAGGAAAGTTTTAACATAAAGTTGTTGCTAGATTACTGTGAATTTTCCTGCATTTGGGGAATATTCATTCTTTCAGTTACAGACTTATTTCTGGTTTTATTCTAGGATAAGTCTCCCTAGATATGAAAAGATAATACCAGCTGAAGGTGAAGGTCAGAAGCTGATTATCACTGAAAAGGTAAAAGTGTTTACTGCACCTTTGTAAATTTATTGAGAGTTTCTGAACCAGCAAGATAGGTACTAGTACCAATTTAATGAGGGCAGTGAGGCTGGAAATTGTATTTGCAGAGAGTTAAAGAAATGTATCTACTTATTTGGATTTATATTTCAGGAAGCTGAGGGGATGGAACAATAGACAAATTATTTTGAGTGAACCTAGTAGCAGATCAAATCAAAGTTTCATATGCTCACAGTGCATCGACCTTCTGGACCATTACATAGTATACTGGAAGCTTCCCTCAAGACCTGGAGTGGGTTGGTTGGTTTGTTTTTCCCTTTGGGATTCTAATGTCTTTCCATTAATTTTCTTTTTGAGTACTACTTTACAAAAGAAGATTTCAAATGAAAAGTGCACATTTAATCAGTTCTAGTTTTGTATATTCTGTGCGCTTGAACTTTATAATGTGTTGCTGTTGTAAACTGCAGACTGGCCAAGTCCGTCCTCATGCTGTAGCTGCAGTCCTTCGTGACATAACTTTTACCAAGGAACGTTATGATAGTTTCATTGACCTCCAAGAAAAACTACACCAAAATATTTGCAGGTTAGTGCTTAAAATTAGTGTATAGTGTCCATGTGTATGATTTTATCATATGTTAAGACTGCACATGGCTATTGCAGAGAGGATTATGTTTATGTTTTTATTTGTGCTAAGGAAAATATTTTATAACAGCTCTCTTAATCCTTCCTAATTTCCCTGCCTATTTCCACCTGCTCTCAATATTTGTCAACATAAATAGCTGTTACAGTTCCTACAACAGCTGAAAAAAGTGTTTGCCACAGTCCCATTGGATTTGTCTTTGACTGTTGTGTTGTTGCCATTCATTAAAATGTTATTCCTGAAAATAATTTTCAAGGCTTTTCACAATTGCCCTTTTACTTTTTCAGTAAATCCTATGAGTGCATTGGAGTATATAGACTCATGAGATACTGTCTCAAAGGAACCCCTGATATTACTAACAAAATCATTATTTTGTCTTCCGTCTTTGTAGGAGAAGAGCATTAGTAGCAATAGGTACCCATGACTTGGACACTGTCTCTGGTCCATTTACTTACACAGCTAAAGCACCTTCTGAAATTAAATTCAAGCCCTTGAATCAATCTCAGGAGTACACAGCTTCACAGATTATGGATCTCTATCGGGTAAGTGGAATTTTTTAGACTTGTTGCACTAAATGCAGGAAGATACATTTCCAAGGCTTAACGTATCTCATTTCCTTGTTGTTAAGAGTTGTTCTTACAAATAAAACAGTTACTTTATGTAGCTTCAGCCAGTGGACATTCAACATTTTGCTTATTCATGAGAAATGCATGTAATACTTTACTGTTCGTGGAAGATACACTACGGTGTTTTCTGGCTAAGCACAAATATTAGAATAGTTACATTAACCCACTGATTTATCATCACAAAGACTATTTATTCTTCATGATGCTCTTAATACTGTAAAAGAGTTGTATATTTATCTGTCTACCCTGGTAAGATACTCAGTCTACAAAGTGACAAAAGTTTGGGGTAAAAAATACCAGGGTTTTTTAATGTTATGTTAATTTGGACAGTTTACTTGGGGAAGATGTTGAATTATTTACACAACTATATGTTAGGCAAGGGTAGCTGTGTAAAAGGCTCAAGTTAAGTCTGCTGGCACTGCTCTTGGCCCAGCATCTGAGGAGACCTGGTAAATGCTAGGAAAAGGTTCTATCAGGTCTAATTTTACAATGTTTACATGTGTCACTAAATGTCAGCATTGAAAACAATACTGTTATCACCATCATTACAATATACAGCTGTTCTGGAGCACATATACTGGTCCTAGAGATAAATTCTCAAAAGATGTCTGACTGAAGATGAGTAAGAGTGCTAGGAAACAAGGAGTATCAGAAAGACGTAAAGTAAACGATGCTTTTGGAACAGTATATACCTATGTCATTGGAACAGATGTGAATTTTTAATCAAATTTAAGCATAAATGTGTCAGTATTCAGCAGCTCATAATTAAAAGTATTGTAATGCTAATTTTTGTCATTTCTAAAGAAAGTTGCTCTGAAGTAAGGATGTGTGCCCATGGATTTGCAATTAAAAGTCTGCTGTGGTTTGGACAGCACAGCCTATGCATCTTTGAGAGAATCCTTCAAGAATAATTTTTAACACTTCTGAAGAAAACAAAAAATCCAGTTCTCTCTTTTCAAGGTTTTCTTGCTTCTGAGAGCAAACAGCTTTTGCTAGTCAGGTACCTAGCTCTGAGGCCAATCCTTTACTCTTTCAAAATTCCTGTTAATCTCTCAGCAAAGGACTGTAGCACAAGTGAGCTAACATGAAACTTAGGTTGTGCTTTGTTTCTCCAGAGTGACAGCCACCTTCGGCACTATTTACACCTAATTGAAAACAAGCCACTTTATCCTGTCATTTATGACAGCAGCGGTGTTGTTCTGTCCATGCCACCAATCATCAACGGTAAGATTACTTAAGACTAGTTTATACTATAGCTGCTGGTAATGTGTGAGTTAGAGTGTCTTACAGAAATATTGATGTGTAATAAGGGTTATTCTGGCCTCTTAAAATTGTGTCACTTATAATTTCACAGAGTCTTATTTCAGTTTAAATGCAGCCAATTTTTTTGCTCCCTCCCTAGGCTGCTGGTATTCCTTTTTTCTCATCCTCATCAAGAGTCCCTCTGCAAACCCCTGTGTTTAGCTCTTCATACCCTTCTAGAACTCAAGAAGTTTCCTTGTGACAGGAGCCTTTGTTAGGAAAGCATTTTCTTTGCATGTATAAACATTGTTCATCAGACATTTAGCTAAAAGAAGCGTGTAAGAAATTATTTTGTAAACTGGTAACCGTAATAGTCTGTACTCCATGTTATATGGTTACAGTAGAGAACTTTTCACCCAAGTCTTAAGCCCAGCTTATGTAACAGCAGTGTGAACCACTTCTTAGCTTCTTCTGCTATCACAGAAGTGATTCCAGAAGACTTTAATGGCTTAAAAAGAATAAATTGGTCTATACTTCTTTACTGTTTCTAAACATAGTTTTCTTCTGAATGCAGAAGAAACTGGATGATTTTTGAGAACCATGGTTACTAAAGCCGCTTAATGATATGGCTAGAATTACTCCTTTAACAAAGATATTTCAGTATCCTTGTATATTTAAATCAACAATCAGTAACTTTCCTGTACACTGACACATAAACTCTGCAGTGATAATCCCTTTTGGATGTATTTTTGCTAATCAGTCTTACCCATATCTTAAATAGCTAACTGAAGTCTTCTTAAAAGGCAGCTCAAACTCTGTGTCAGGGAGTGGTAAGAATAGCTATTCTGAATGGAAAATTGTATCAACCACTGTGTCTCATCCTTGTTTTTTAGGCTCATTCCAGTTTTGGAGTGTTCCATGTTTAGGATTGCATACTTACATTTTATCAATTTAAAAGGTTGAGCTAAATTTAATACCTGTCTCTAAGTTTAAGGCTCTAAGCATTTGAGAGAGGCTTCCAGTTTAAAGGTACTTTTTAAACAGTTAAGGAAATGTAAACATCTCTGCTGGCTTTTTGGATTATCTACAAGCACTTAAGTGAAAGGTTATATTTGTTTTGAAGTAAGTCCAGAAATGCTGAATATATTTCATCAGCGGAGAGGTACAGCGCAGCATCAAAGGGAGAGGCATACAAGATGTCTCAGTCTTAAGATCTCCAGTGCACTTAACTTTCAGTCTAACTGTGACCTAGTTTTCAGGTAGGAAATGAAAACAGAAGCTGAATGACTTTCTCAGGGTCAAACAAAGGAAACAGGAGTGTCCATGTATATCCAACAGCATGCTTCCCTTTGCCTCCTGTGGGGTTCAATGAAAGGTGAGAAGGACAAGGTTAGATTTGTCATGATCCCGCACAGTTCTAGGAATCTGTATGTCCAAGCTGTATGCTCACCAGCAGTGAAATCCATTCAAGGTATGCACTGCACATCGGTACCCAACAGGCAATATGAGACAGATTTCCCTACAGGTGCTCTACAGGTGCTCTAGATTGGTTGTGGCTTACTAACTGGACCCCACTTTTGTAGGGAGCCAACTACTTGTGGGACTTTGCATCGAGTTTGCAAGAGAGATACTTTAGGTGATGCCCCTAAGTTGTATGTTCTATCTTGCTTCTTCCAGACAAGAAACAGTTTTGACTGCATCAGTGATGTGCTTCAGTGACTCATGACTCCCATTAATCCTAATGACTTCCAGTACAGACACAAAACGAATTCATGCCTAATAGGAACCCATACTAGGACCTGAATCACTAATGTAGACAAACCCGTAATGTATCAGGAGGCAATGTCAAGAGATGTAGGTTATTCAGAGATGTATCTATGGGTATTCATCAGTCTAAGTCACTTTTTAGAAAGCATTTAATTCCTGTCCAGGGCTGCTTTTGTGTGCACATCACACATCGAATGCAAACGTGTTACTTAAAGATGCGCTGGAAGTGCAGAACCAGCTTGCAACCAGCAGATGGCCACTAGTCTGGTGGTTTTCTTTTTCGACAGGATACTGGGATACCTGTAGATTTGTGTGTTTTTCAGTGTAAAGCATAACCAGATATGAGTCTGGTCTGTCTCTTTCCTCTTTCTGTTTCATAAATTTAAAAATAAGAGCTGCTATTCTGGTAAGAATTGTGAATGTTGGTGCAGTAGACAGTGCCTTTTTAAGCTGCAGAAGATGACAGTCATCTTTCTGAATCACAAAAAGAGTCAGTATCAGTGTTGTTGCAAGAAAAGCAGTAACATTTTTTAACATTTTGTCTTCTTTACATGTTTTAGGAGATCATACAAAAATAACCGTAAACACAAAAAATGTGTTTATTGAATGTACAGGCACAGATATCACAAAGGTAAATTAATCTTTCTTGCTTTTGATATGCTTTAATATTGTTTTCCCTCTGGATGGTAGGGCTCCAATACAAGGAGCTATGATAGCCAGGTGTTTATAGAGCCAGCCTCCCATTTCAAAAGGGCAGGCAGGATAAGTTGTAGACCTGTGTGGAGTTCCCTCAACACAGTTTGAGGCTTGCTCTGTAGACAGTGTTTTATTTTCATTGCATTTTCTTTTTACTGAAAACATTAACTTTTCAGTCTGTATGAGAGAGTAACTCAAGTAAATTCAGGGCTTTTTTTGCTGTTGAGCACTTTTTCTAAATCTGAAAGGCTTCAAAAAGAGTAAAATTCACTTAAGACTACCTGTTTTGCCAGAATACTCTTTGTAAAGAATCACTTTGTCTCCTGAAAATTTGGGCTGTGGGAAGGAAGACATCACTTTCTCTTCATAGTTATCTTTTTCAAGCAGGGATGCTGTGCAAATAATTGTCAAATGGAAGTCTTTCTATATGCAAATTCTGTAACTCAGATCTGAAGCATGAAAGCCTAAGCAGTTATAATTGCCTGTTCTTGAATACAGGTTGTGCATTCATTGGTAGTTTCCCTAAAACATGTATCTTGACACTTAAGAGCAAAACCACTTTTAACTTACCCTACAACACCGTATGTTAATGACATAAATAAATTAGCATGTTGGAGAGTGACTTCTAAGCAAACTAATAAAGAATTGCTTCTTGCTACTGCTTGCCTTGATAGTAAAAATGGTGCTGTTCTGCTTACATGAAGGAAATTATACTGCGAGGCATCAAAAAAACAACCTTTGTAGATTGAGAAGTTGGTTTGAACTGCATTATTATGTTCTGTTACACTAAAAATCTTAAAATATTAACTGTGAGACAAAAGATAGTGCAGGTTATTTGATAGTGTATTAAACAACACAGAGTCCTTCAGCCTCTACATTCTTGCTTGAGCATCAGTGAAATGTCTAATTAGACTGAAGGTTGGGAAGACGTAGTTCCATCTGCTATGAAAGACCCTATGTATATTCAGAGCAGAGTTTAGGAAAGACACATAAATGCTGCAGCACCTTGAAAACCAAAGATACAAAGTTTTTGCGTAACTGTCTCTGCAGCAAAAGAAAAACATTATCTAGTATTCTAGACTGCTAGGATTTTGGTTTTTAGTTGTTAAATAGAATGAAATGAGAGAGTATAAGACAAGACTTCCCCCCCCCCCATGTTTTTTATTAAGATATTTTGTCTATTCTAACACAAGTAGATGACAGATTTCTATGTGATTATTTTGTAGGCAAAAATTGTTCTTGATATTATAGTCACGATGTTTAGTGAATATTGTGAGAAGCCATTCAGGTGAGTATGAATCTCCAGTCAGAGAGACATTACATTTAGGCCATGTGTTAAAAACATTTTTACTTCTGTTTCTCTGTCTCTCATAGTGTTGAAGCAGTAGAAGTCATTTATCCTAATGGGAAGACCTGCATCTGTCCGGTAAGCATAGGGATATGTATCTCAGTATCCTTTCTTTTTTTACTTATACAAAGTCTGGTAAGAGTGGCATTGTCTTCTTTTTCTGCAGAGGAAGTATATACTGGTTCTGATGTATAGTGTGGAAGCTCAGCTTGGCACTATCTTTATGTTAGTAAGTCAGAGCCTTCTCTAGCCCCATGAAAAATAACTCCAACTGCAGCTTTCCATTATCTAGAAAACTCATTCTGAAGCTCCACTAGTTTATGATAACGCTAAAAATACAGTATCACTGACATAATCTGATACTCCAAAAAGAAGCGTAGGGTTTAAAGTTACAAGTGGCAACCACTGTTGTGGTGTAGAGTTCATGTTATAGGAACTTTTTCAGGAACAAATAAAGATTGCAATCAAAGGTCATAATCTGTGTCTAAAGCCTTTAAAACCTCTGTGTTCCAAATCAGGAAAAATTAATGCAGTAAGAGGTCCTTTAGCCTTAAGCCAGTGGACAACTGAAATCAGCCTCACCATAACTGACTTATCAGATCTGAAAGCTTTAATGCCCTTCATTTAAAATAACCTTGTAATACTGGAGTTTTCAGTCATTATATATTTGGAGTCTATAAAGTGAAAGGTCTATAAGGGAGGATGTTGACTTCAAGTGCAGGTTTGCTTGCATGCAGTCCCAGGCAGGCCGCTTCGCTTTAGTGGAGTCTTACTTTTTTGTTCTCTTAACAAGAACAAAGAAAACAATTCATCCTGTTTCCTGAAAGTAGCTGATGACAGAGTTCTGCTTTAAAGGGAAAGAAACTTATTTTTACTGAGAGTTCTTCTAGTGATATTTCAGCTTTTCTTTTAGCAATGTCAGCTTTAATCAATAGAAGCAAGACATAGAATTCTGCCATGAACAAAGTAGCTGCTTTAGCTAAAAGAAAAAAAATCCCCGAAGTTTTAGTTGCTAAAGTTTTTCAGCATTTGTGTATCTAGACATTTAGAAACACCTAAGTAAATATATACAAAATAACTTCCTTAAATATATTGCAAACTTTCTGTGTAAAATACTAATAGATATTTCTGTGCCCAGTATGGAAACAGAAAGTTTTCTTTCCTTTTCCTCCTATAAGTCATTTGATCTGTAGTAGACCATGACCATTCACCTCTGCTTTAGGGCTTTGACTCAGGATCCACTGGTCACTAGAAACTTTCAGCAACTGTTACTTGCTTATATCAGAAATTATTAGAATATTTCAATAACAGGGATTTCATGCCACATTCAATTTCTTAGCTTAACCGAGAACAGCTTTTGCATTGTATACTATAATATTTTCAAGAATCCTGTTACCTTAAAATGTTCTGTTTAGCCTTGTATTCCACACTTGTCTGCTGTGGATGTCATTTTATTAGCATAATTAGAAGAACCTAGATTACTAAAATGTCAAAATTGAATCCTCTTAGGTAGGAATGACAGACATTGTGTATGCTGGAAAGCTTTGTCTTTCTTTTTAGGAACTGGCTTACCGAAAAGAGAAGGTGAAACCTGAGCTCATTAACAAGAAAATAGGAATCAGGTGTGTTATTGCAAATGAAAACAGTTTTCATTAATCATGGAAAAGGTACTAGAAAACACTGCTTTGTTTTAAAGTTATTTACATTGTGTGATTATTTTTTATGAAAAATTCAAGGGTTATTCTGGGTAATTAGATCAACTCTGTAAGATTTGTTCCCCCTTTTTTCAAGGAAAGTGAGTGATTCTTTATGGCCTTACAGAACTGTTACGAAGTAAAGAAAATGATTGTTTCAAGAGTCAGAATCTGAGCTGGTTCTGATCAAATGCCAAGTGTGTGTACAGTCCACACAGCACTTGGAGTTTTTCAGACAGTGCAGCAGAAACATCAATGCAGTGCAAGATCCAAAAATTACTACTCTCTTGTTTTGTTTCAGTGAAACTCCATCAAGCCTTGCAAAGCTGCTGACTAGGATGTGTTTGAAGTCACACGTCATAGGGAATGGGAACAATATAGAGATTGAAATCCCTCCTACCAGAGCGGACATTATCCATGCATGTGATATCGTAGAAGATGCAGCAATAGCTTATGGTTATAACAACATTCAGATGGCTATTCCGAAAACGTACACCATAGCTAATCAAGTAAGATTGCCCCTTCAAATAAACGCTCTGTTGTCAGTAAATGACTAGTGCATGCCAGAAGGGCTTTGGGGAAAACAGAACCTAGGAATTAAATATTTTGACATGCTTTGCCTTGAGAAGTATTTACCATGGGTAGGATACAAAACAGATGCCTCACTGATTTGAATAAGCCCAAGACCAGTGGTTGCTGGTACTTGAAAAAAGACAGGGTTTAAATAGGGAGCCCGTATTAAATCTCTAATTGGGAGATTCATTTCCTCAGTCAAGCCTAAAGGCAGCTGGCTGACGCTTTCATAAATTTCAAGCACACAAGCATAGTACCTCCCTGGTGAACTCACCATAGTGTAACAGGCAAAATCACCTCGGGAAAGAATAGAAAATGTTTTTAGGTGGAAGTTGAAAACTTTTTTGTTTCGTTTTAGCTCCCCCTCAATAAGCTCACTGAACTTCTGAGACTGGACTTGGCAGCTGCTGGATTCACTGAAGCGCTCACTTTTGCCCTGGTATATTATATTGATTTCATATTTTTCTTACTTGCATGTTGGAAGAGTGATTCAACCAAAACTTGCAGAGAATGGTCAGAGGGTCTGAGAATATGTTGTTGTGTAGATATATCAGTATTTGTTACCATTTTGGCAGGCAATTGTTTGCTAGTCCTTTGGATTTACAGTATACTATTTTGTGAGTTTGTAAGTCAGAGAAATGGAATGCCACTGTTAATGTGGCATGTGCTTCTAAACATAGAGGCAAAATTAGCTGCTGAAGTACTGGTTTTAGTTTAACTTGATAGGATGAAGTTATAAGACAGCAAATCTCTCTTGAGACTTTGATCACCAGATGTGAAATGCATTATAGTTTGATAATCTGGAAAACAAACATAAAAATTTAATACTTTCTGATGGATATTACAACAGTTTAGAGATTACCCTGTTTCTCGTCTCTTTTTAGTATTGTCATTTGCTCATGATTCCTTGCATTAGATGATAAGCTGATACATAGTTACTCAAAGAGTTTATTTTAAAAATACTTGTAAAAAAGTTATATTGCACACTAAGGGGACACAAATACCTCTATAAATTTCACCAAAGTTTTTTGGTTTTGGGGTTTTTGGTTGGTTTTTTTTTTTGGTTGGTTTTTTGGTTGGTTTTTTTTCATGGAGGAACAAATAAAAATATAAATTGTTGTTTGCACTGGTACTATTCATATTGTTTGTTACAACCATGGCAGTGGTCTTTTACCAAGAATTAGGTAATTTACTCTGCAGCAGCATGTGCCACTGCAGTACCAACAGCTGGCATGATTTCTCATACTGAAATTTTGCAGTAAGATTGGTCAGTAGGAAACACCATCTTTGTTATGGCCACTTGTCCATACCTCTTTGCAATAGCTTTAAACTGGATCAGAGAATCTGATCTACTATTCAAAAATAATAATAAAAAAATAAAAACGAGTACATGCACCCATGCCCTCCAAATGTACATGGTATTAACTGTCCACACACTGAGACTGATAAAGTCAGCTACTGAAAATACGCTACAAGTTTTAGAGAATCCTTTCTGTTCAAAATCCACTCAAAGCCTTTGCCTTAAAGTGCAATTTGTGTGCATTTTAGCAAATGGGGAGCTACCATCATATATTCTATTAAAACCTCTCTGAAATTTCCCAGCCTTTTCCTGAACTTAATTATTAGAGGCCAGAAATACATGTTCCTGAAAGTACACAACCTTTTAAGAGATAGTTGTCTGATCACAGATTATTTTTTGATAACTTACTAAAAGTTTCTAATATCCAGTGATGCAGAGTCCCAAAACACTTACATGCATTTAAAAAGTTCAGGGATTGCAACCAGAATTGGTAATACAAATGGACCAAATGAAATGTTAAAACCTCCAGATTTCATTGAGCTTCAAAAGAAAAATTTGAACTAATTCTAACATCTGATAAATATATTTAAATTTTAATATTTTGTTATTAACTCATTTAAGTAACCAGAAAAATGACTAGTATTTCTTCCTGCAGTGCTAATATTTGACAAAGTTGTTCAGACTACCTGCAGTAGTACCAGGGGGATGTTGGGGAAATAATACGTACAACATGGTCAAACTTTTCTATATTTTCCTTATTCATTAGTAAATATAATTTTTTTTTTCAGCACTGAATAGGTGGTACACTTTAAAATGTTGAATATATCACACCTGTATCACTACAACCAAAGACCTTTATGAACTGCAACAGCAAAATTCTGTAAGATCATGCAGTATATCATGTTATCACATTACATGTTTGTATTTCTGCTGTGGAAATGAAACCCACAGTCTGCTGTGTCACCAACACTCTATTAAAAACCAGTGTGAGGCCCCTGACTATGACAAATATCATTTATGCTGCTACATTCTGTAGCCCACCATTATGTGACAAACACTGCTTGTGTATTTGTATAGACAGTCTGTTTCTTGGTTTGAGCCCAAAATTATACTTCTAGTCAGCAACATGGCTTTTTTTGAGGAGCTCCAATTTAGCCAAAATGCATTTAGTTTAAATCGCAGTAACATACTGTAGTTTAGATACACATCTGAAAACTGTTTAACACAGTTTTCTCCTCCTAAGGTCAGCATTCATTTGATTTATTTTTTTTTAATCTAGTAATCCACTTTTTTTAAATCATCTGCTCATTTTCCTCACATTTGGTCTATCAGCATGCTTTTCGAAGCGCTGCCAGTGCAAAGGGAACACTTCTGGGAGACTGCAGTATACCAGCAAATCCTCAATTACATGCCTAGTCTGCTAATGGTTTCTTTAATACATTAATAAAGCTATAAATTCTGAAAATCTGTGATGTGGATCTTATCAGTAGCATCTGTTGTTTACATGCACAGACATAGTCTGAGCCTGATAAAGTGCATGCGTATTGCTTTACTGACCAGCTTAAAAATACACCCAGAGAATAAGGGCTTTAAAAATATTCCAGTTCAAAAAATTGAAACCAACAATGAACTATGAAACCAACATGAATGATGTCACTTGTTGGGTGACATGGTTTAGTGGAAAGTGTCTCTGCCCATGGCAGGGGTGTTGGAACTAGATAATCTTAAGGTCCTTTCCAACCCTAGCTATTCTACGATTCTATGATTCTAACTATGAGAATCCTATGCAGCTATTAAAATTGAAGGCTTGACCATACGAACTATTTTTCATAGACAGTACTTTATTTTCTGTAAGTAGCCCACAAGGGATTTTCTTTGTGAGAAAGCTGGGGTAACAGTCCCTTTACAGATACTATTTTCAAAATAAAATACTTCAGTCATTGGAAGTCAGGAGGCAGAATCTGAGCCTCTTTTTATAAACCAGATTACAACTATCCGTGATAGAAACCAAAGTAAACACTTGCCTTTTTTTCATTAAACTAGCTTAATTTTGGTTAGTATTTAACATTTTGTAGATAAACCAGTTTGCTTACTTAGTCTTAAGACTGGGGCTTAATTTTTGTTATGAAAAACTTCGTGTTGCACAAGAGAGCATACATCATGGGGCCTCAGAGCAAGTGCTACAACTGCATTGTTCATTCTTAATATCAGATTTCATCACTGGCTTACTGTCTATTTTAACTTACTTGACTTTGGTGTATTTTGTCTTTTCCTCTCAGTGTTCCCAAGAGGACGTTGCAGATAAACTTGGCATGGATATCTCTGCAACAAAAGCTGTGCGCATAGCAAACCCCAAAACTGCAGAATTTCAGGTGAGATAATTCAGGTTTTGGGAGCAACGTTGTCTGTATCTAAAGAGGAGAAAAAGAAACTAATAGGAAATAAAATTTATAAACCATAGTGCTATTTTCCATGCATTAAAGAGGATGTGCATACTTTTGTGCTAAACTTGCTAGCAGTCATCTTCTGTTACTCCTTCACTGAGAAATACCTTATTTGATGTGAAATACTATTAGCAGTAAACTCCCGTGCTCTGTATGACAGCATGTGGCAAAATTGAGCCATCTTACTACAGAAAATCCCAGATAATTGATCAACTACTGCATTTGGAAAAGCCATTCAATATAAATGGAATTATTAGGTCTGGCAATCTCTAAAATTCATGAGCTGTGAATATGAAATGTTGGGTTTTTTAACTGTTAACAATTGTTATTCCTTTTTTTCTTTTTAAATACTTAAAGGACAGTACAGAATTAATACCCATTTCTAGGTAATTTGATCTTTGCTAGAGCAGTGTGAGAGCTCAAGTACAGTATTGTCAACAATTCTGAAAATACCTAAAAGCGTACCCATAATTTTTGTACTGGTTTTAGAAAGTGTTTTTTTTTTTAAAGTTGCTTTCTTTAGTTTACGGGAAAGATAAATTTGAGTCTTTTGTGTCTAACCTAAGAAATACAAAGGTAAACTCTTTAGAAAGGTTTAGAAAAGTTTCAGCAGTCTGTGAGTGTTAATATTTTGTTATTTGTTTGGTTTTTTTCCCCCTCAAGATCTTCAGTAAGTCTAATTTCTCCAAGTATCTAAGTTACCTTTCTAGATCTTGCCTCTAATACTAAAAGCAGTCTCCTGCTGCTTTGAGATTCAAGAACAGAATTTTGGGGTGCCTTCATGTATTTTTTTGTTCACAAATCAGCAGTCATGCAAGACACTGTTGTAACCTGTTTAGACTGTTATCACCCGTTCACATACATAGTTTGGCATGGTGATTTCAACTCAGTAATATAGAATGTACCACAAACAAATTACTGAGTATTATAAAAAGAGAAGTAGCAGCCCTTTTAGCCAGCTACAGTTTCAGATTCCTGTTCTTCAAAGACCAGGCCTTTGCAGTGGCTGTGCTGCTAAGCAGTCATATAATTGGCTAAATATTATTTGTGTCAAAAATAGCCTCAGTCTTTAAAATCTGTTGGCCCCCCTGAAAGTTGGGAAAGATAACTCTCTGATGCATTATAAATTTTCAACTTTAGATGTTAACTGTAAAGAGATTCTCGGGATGGCTTTTCCCCCACCCCTGTTTCTGCCAGCACCACAAGGGAAGACTGATGCCAGGGATACTCTTCCAGCTGAGTTTGCAGCTGGAACACTTCATTTGTTAGGAGAAGTAGGATAAATCAACAGAAATGCTGCACTAGCAATGATAAGATGTGACTGAGCATATTGTAACTTTTTACCTGCAGTCAAGCAGCAGTCACTCCCATCCATTTTCCATTAAATTTACTGAATCAGACTCTTCCAGTTTGGAGGACAGGGCGGGCATGAAAGATGCCCTTACAAAGAAGTATTTGAATGGAGAACACAGGAAACACATGGGAATGGATCTGTTAAGAACAGTAATATGATTGCCTCTTGCTTGGTTGTTTGCATGCATTTTCTATGTATTTCTGGTTGTCCACAACTGCAATCTGAATATGCCTGATTCTGTTTTGTAAGTGCATACTTCATAGAATCTTAGAATCGACTAGGCTGGAAAAGATCTTTAAGATCATTGAGCCCAATCGTTACCCATGTTAGCCCAGGACTGCTAAGCCCACCACTAAACCGTGTCACTAAGGGCAAACTGTTCTCGCCTAATGGCTGCCCATCATGATCTCCAGTCACAGCCACCCCTCATATATCTCCTCATTGTGCCCCACACTATATAGCTGCCGCCCCTACCCCTCACGGCCACACCCTATCTCCCCTCAATATCTCCCCTCATGGCCACCTGTCACAGCTCGTGGCCACTCCTGCTCTCCCCTCACGGTCTCCCCTCACGGCCACCCCTGCTCTCCCCTTGCCCATCATGGCCACCCCTGCTCTCCACTCACGATCTCCCCTTGCAACTAATGGCTGCCCCTGCTCTCCTCACAGTCTTCCCTCACCCTTCATGGCTGCCCCTGCTCTCCCCTCATGATCTCCCCTCCTCCCTAATGGCCACCCCTCCTGTCCACTCACCATCTCCCTTCTCCCTTCATGACTGCCCCACCTCTCCTCTCATGATCTTCCCCCATGGCCACCACTGCTCTCCCCTCTCGATCTCCCCTCACCAGTCATGTCCACCCCTGCTCTCCCTTCATGATCTTGCCTCCTCCCTCATGGCTGCCCCTGCTCTTCCCTCACCCCTCGTGGGCACCCCTGCTCTCCCTTCATGATCTCCCCTTGCCCCTCGTGGCCGCCCCTGCTCTCCCATCATGATCTCCCCTCACCCCTCATGGGTGCCCCTGCTCTCCCCTCATGATCTCCCGTTGCCCCTCATGTCAGTCCCTGCTCTCCTCACGATCATCCCTCATAGCCACCACTGCTCTCCCCTCACGATCTCCCCTTGCCCCTCATGGCCGCCCCTGCTCTCCACTCACAATCTTCCCTCATGACTGCCCCTGCTCTCCCCTCAAGAACTCCCCTCACCCCCCATGGCTGCCCTTGCTCTCACCTCACGATCTTCCCTCAGCCCTCATGGCCGCCCCTGCTCTCACCTCACGATCTCCCCTCACCCTTCATGGCTGTCCCTGCTCTCCCCTTGTACCCTCATGGCCACCCCTACTCTCCCCTCACCCCTCAGGGCCACCCCTGCTCTCCCCTTGCCCCTCATGGCCACCCCTGCTCTCTCTTCACGATCTCCCCTCACCCCTCATGGCCGACCCTTCTCTCCCCTCACAATCTCCCCTCACCTCTTGTGGCAGCCCCTGCTCTCCCTTCGCCACTCATGGCCACCTCTCCTTTCCCCTCATGAGCTTCCCTCCTGGCTGCCCCTGCTCTCCCTTCATGATCTCCCCTTGCCTCTCTTGGCTGCCCTTGCTGTCCCCTTGCCCTTCATGGCTGCCCCCACTCTCCCCTCACGATCTCCACTCGCCACTCGTGGCCACCCCAGCTCTCCCTTCGCCTATCATGGCTGCCCCTGCTCTCCACTCATGATGTCCCTTCATCCCTCATGGCCACCCCTGCTCTCCCCTCACCCTTCATGGCTGCACCTGCGCTCCCCTCACCCCTCGTGGCTGCCCCTGCTCTCCCCTTGAGCTTACCTCATCCCTCATGGCCTCCCTGCTCTCTCTTCACGATCTCCCCTCGCCTCTCATGGCTGCCCCTGCTCTCCCCTTGCCCCTCATGGCCACCCTGCTCTCTCTTCACTATCTCCCCTCGCCTCTCATGGCTGCCCCTGCTCTCCCCTTGCCCCTCATGGCCACCCCTGCTCTCCACTCACAATGTCCCTTCATCCCTCATGGCCACCCCTGCTCTCCCTTCACCCTTCATGGCTGCCCCTGCTCTCCCCTTGCCCCTCAATGGCCACCTCTGCTTTCCCATCATGAGCTTCCCTCATGGCCGCCCCTGCTCCCCCCTCATGAGCTTCCTTCATGGCTGCCCCTGCTCTCCCCTCAAGAAATCCCCTCACCCCTCATGGTTGCCCTTGCTCTCACCTCATGATCTTCCCTCACCCCTCATGGTTGCCCTTGCTCTCACCTCACAATCTTTCCTCACCCCTCCTGGCCACTCCTGCTCTCCCCTCGCACCCTCATGGCCACCACTACTCTCCCCTCACCCCTCATGGCCATCTCTGCTCTCCCCTCAAGATCTCCTCTCATCTTTCATGGCTGCCCCTGCTCTTCCTTCACAATCTCCCCTTGCCTCTTGTGGCCGCCCCTGCTCTCCCTTCACCACTCATGGCCACCTCTCCTTTCCCCTCATGAGCTCCCCTCATGGCTGCCCCTGCTCTCCACTCATGAGCTTCCCTCGCCTTTCATGGCTGCCCCTGCTGTCCCCTTGCCCTTTGTGGCTGCCCTTGCTCTCCCTTCACAATCTCCACTCATGGCCACCCAAGCTCTCCCTTCGCCTATCATGGCCACTCCTGCTCTCCACTCATGATGGCCCTTCATCCATCCCTCATAGCCACCCCTGCTCTCCCCTCACCCTTCATGGCTGCACTTGCTCTCTCCTCACCACTCGTGGCTGCCTCTGCTTTCCCCTTACGAGCTTCCTTGATTGCTCATGGTCGCCCTGCTCTCTCTTCACTATCTCCCCTCAGCCCTCATGGCTGCCGCTGCTTTTCCCTCATGAGCTTCCCTCATGGCCGCTCCTGCTCTCCCCTTGCCCCTCATGGCTGCCTCTGCTTTCCCCTCATGAGCTTCCCTCATGGCTGCCCCTGCTCTCCACTCACGATGTCCCTTCATCCCTCATGGCCACCCATGCTATCCCTTCACAATCTCTCCTTACCCCTCATGGCTGCCCCTGCTCTTCCCTCATGATCTCCCCTCACCCCTCATGGCCACCCCTGCTCTCTGTTCACGATGTCCCTTCATTCCCTGTGGCCGCCCCTGCTATCCCTTCATGATCTCCCTTCGCCCTTCATGTCTGCGCCTGCTCTCACTTCACGATCTTCCCTCATCACTGCCCCTGCTCTCCCCTCAAGATTTTCCTTCACCCCTTTTGGATGCCCCTGCTCTGCCCTCAAGATCTCCCCTTGCCCTCCATGGCTGCCCCTGCTCTCCACTCACGATGTCCCTTCATCCCTCATGGCTGTCCCTTCTAGCCCTTCATGATCTCCCCTCGCCCCTCATGGCCACCACTGCTCTCCCCTCACGATCTCAATTCACCCCTCATGACCATCACTGCTCTCCCCTCACAATCTCCCCTCACCGCCCTTCCTGCTCTCCCCTCATGATCTTCCCTCATTACTGAAGTAACCTGTTACTTAGGTTTTGCCTATTTCATTGTTATCCTGCAGTAGCAATAGTTTAGATAGCGCTAAATATTTCAAAAATAACATATGGTGTTTCTCTTTTGCATAAATTAGATTAAATTTATGGGAATTTTTTGCATTTCTTTCAGTATTTTTTTTCTACTATGCACTGCAGCTGAAGCATCTATGAAATACCTATGCTCACATATATGCCGTGTCAGAAAATGCAGTCTAAACATGCAGCCTATGTACATTTTCAAGTTTAATAATTCTAAATCAAAGATGCTTAAACATAGGAGAGAAATGCAGTATTTGCGCCTGACTACTTTTAAACTCTTACTACAAATGAGCAAAAGAAGAAGCTAACCTGAACTATTTTGGAAGCCATTTCACTTGCAGCACCCATATTTGTCCTGCAGGTGGCACGTACAACCCTTCTTCCTGGGCTGCTGAAAACTATTGCTGCTAACCGAAAGATGCCGTTGCCTCTCAAGCTCTTTGAGATTTCTGACGTTGTAGTGAAAGATCCTAATACAGGTAAGAGAAGTTTCCTCAAAATGTTTGTTAATGGAAATATGTTTACAATAACAGATGGTAATAGTAAGTAAATCTGTATTTCTTTAAAAATGTAATAGGCATTACATACTACATTGTTCGGGTTTAATTTATGTGCATAGTGCAAGAGCTAAGAGATTGTGGTAACAGGCTAGAGTTTAGAGTTGCTAGAGATACAGCTTCATTTTAGATGCTCTCTCAAATGTGCAAGTAGGTTAAGTTGCAAATATTTTTAGGCATCTGAGTATCCTTTAAAAATATCTCAAGAATACTGTAAGGATAAACGCAAGACAATTTTGCACCAAAAATAACTTGCTCTAAATTGCTTATATTGATGCACCCTTTTTTACTTGCTCTTAATCTAGTGCTCCTTTGTATTTTTATCAGGGATATAACTCATGAAAGAGGCTACCTGCTGGTAGCCTTTTCAAGCAGCACAAACCTTGGAAAGTAGTAAATATCAAAGCCATGCTGCTATTACAGTACTGGAACTTGATTAAACTGCTGCAGTCTCAAAGGTGTGCAATGCTATACCAATTGAAAACCAGTAGGTCTCAAGTCTGGGAACAGCAGGTTCTGGAGAGCTGTAATTCAGAGAAAGACTTTGGGGTCGTTGTGTCTCCATATGAATCCCTTCTCCACCATCTTTAAACAGCAGTGCTTGAATTTCTTCTCCAAAATTCTGGAAAACTGACAACATAGCACAGATACAGGGTAAAGAATAGAGCGTGTCTGTGTATAAAAATGCGTAAATAAAAAGCTCAACAGTTTGAAATTTCCCCTCTCATTTGCAAAAAGTTTTCCTTATCTTTCCACTTCATCCAACTATGCTAAGAAGGCATGGCTGCCTTTCAATTGTTCCCTAACCTTAATTGTTTTATGTGAAACAAAGCAGCTAGTTCACTTTTCAAAAGCTTCAGTGAAATCCTTCTTGTCTTTTGGGGCCTCTTTGCACTGCTTCCACTGTACAGGATCAAAATTTCAAATTAACTTATTTTATTCTGGAAAATGTATTGAAGTAAAATGAACTGAAAAATGGATTTTTAAATGTGAAAAAAGTTAACTAAAATTTACTGATTAATTTCTTTCTATATGGTTTGTTAAGGGAAAAGGAGTGCACAAGCTCCAGCCTTTGGGAAGAAGTGCTTGTACACTGAGTTACAACTCTGAATGAAGTTTTGCCTCAGTGAAAAAAGCTGATATTACTTTAAATTCAGCAGCAGGAATGGTTCTGATGTTTCATTATCTGGTTTCAGAGTTTAGTGGTTGTATTTAAGGTATCTGGGATCTGCAAAACAAAGGTTTACATAAGGCATAAACAAAACAGCAAGTAAATTGCTTTGGTGATGAATTTAATTTGTAGATTGCTCTTTTTTATTTAAAGAAAAAAAGAGGCTTGCCAAGCAAAATAAGCAATTTTAGCAAACCATGCAGATTGTTTTTTTTTTATTAAATACAGACAGTTTGGTGGTGCAGCTTACTCCTTGTTGGACATGCAGTTTGCTGTAGTGCATAACAAACTGGTACAGAGTAACATCAGCATTCTTCAGAACCAAAAGTGTATTTGTTCTGGCTTTATAAAATTTGAAAGTTAAATTGTTACTTGTATTTCATATGTGTTAATTGTAGTTTTTGGAAGCTTTCATTTACGTAGGTGGCAGCTTAACAGTTTTATAAAGACTGATTTTGTAGTGTACTTCATTTTGATGGGAATCATTGCAACAGATGAAAGATGAAGACTTCTGAGGTAGCAGCTTTGTACCCTATGCTCTTGGGCAGCTCTCATGCGTTGAGCACTTGCAGACTGTGAACAGTATCTGAAATTGTTTTTAATGCTGTGTTTAGAATAACTGCTGTCTTTCCCAAATTTACTTTGAAAATGATGCTTGTCTAATAAACAGTTTGAAAGGGGAGGGGAGAACGACTGGTAACTCTGCAAACCCTGAAAATTGTGGTTCTGTCCTCTCACATATGGAATGAGATTTCCTGCAGAAGGCTTATGTCATCAGACTGACTAATTTAATTTTATTATTTCATGATTTTGGCATGCAGAATTTCCAATTAAAAATTTCAAAAGTATAGGTCAAAAGAGTACTGACTTTAACTGTATTTGAAATGGTATCCTGTAGTCATTCATGTGTGAATGAACCTAGCTCTTTTAAACACACTGTTTTTGATAAAATACCTTCTTACCCAGAGTATAACCAAGGTGAACTGAACATACTTCCCTTCAGACATATCTGGCAGAAAGGTTTGACATACTAAATTAGCAAAATGTGCATCAGATTTAATATAACTAAATGGAACCAAATCTGAGCAGAAGCATGTCTTCTCAAGGCAGGAGGAAATGTGCCAATTTTGACTATGTTACACAGCATTTGTGTGGTTGACTGGTAACACTAGATAGTCATTTCTAGGATAGTTAGGCTAGTTCAGCATGTAAGTCATCACTTTATACCACCAGTCCTAAGTGAGAATACCCTTTCTCTCCCTTACAACAACAAAAGAAATCAATCCATTAGAAAGTCACCTCTGACCAGTGATCTTGGAGAATCTGGCAATCTTATGGTAGCGCACATTTAGCACAACTTGCATCATTTCTGAGTACAGCTGCTGCCATATTTTGAAGCATTTTTCCAAACTGTCTGGAAGCGTTATATGCAGATAATAGTTGAAGATTTTTGTGAGACTAAGAGACAAGTTTAAATGAGCAGGTGCCCCCTTTCAGATCACCAAGTCATTTTTTCCAAAGCATCTCTAATTTGGAAGTGGGCAGCATACAACATGACTCTGTCTTCTTCTGTACTCTTTTGGCTCACATATTCCTGACCAGCTGCCCATCTTTTGGATTGTTTTTCAGCAGCATCCCCAGGAAGTGCTTTGAAGTCTCAGAAATATATATGTATATATAATTCAGGTTGACATACTCAGCAGGCTCATTTAAAAAATAGAAATGCTGCATGGCATGACACAAGAGATCTCTTAAGTGAGTTATAAAGAACTGAAGCATTTCTAACATCTGCCAGCTTTTGCCTACAGTTCCTAATACTTTCATTTTTTCTATTGCCTGTAGTGCATGAGCTTCTTGTCTTGTAATATAACTCTGTAGAGGAGTAAGCTTTATAACACAGCTTCTTTGAATGCTCAAAAATGCATCTTTCCCTTTACTAATGATTTTTATAGTTGACAACATGTTGTGCATATTTATTTCTGATGCTTCAGTTAAGAATAGGGATCTGAAGACACCACTGACCAACTGAATAATAATGAAATTTAAATTTAGATAGTTGTCACAAGTACTGCTAAAAAAAAGAAAACCAAAAAACCAAACATTCTACTGAATGTCCAGCCCAGTTTCTCTTCCCAAAGGCAGCTCTATGCTGTCTTCAGGAAGAAAAAAAATATTCTTCCTTTCTGCTGCTCAGTACAACGTGAAAATAAGTTATCCACCACTCATGACTGTATTACTGACTGGTACCTTAGTAGGGCTGGGAAATAGAGATGCATATGATGGGACTGCGTGCTCAGACGAGAAATCAGGTGTTGCAGTCAGTGATATTTTCTCTGCTTCTCTGTGTTGCCACTTTAACTTCAGGATTGGATTCTTCAGCATTATTTGACGCTGCAATTTGTGTCCATGGCAGGGGCGGTTGGAACTAGATGATCTTAAGGTCCTTTCCAACCCAAACTATTCTGTGATTCTATGATTGTTATAATGACAGAATAAAGCTCCTGAGTGACAAAATGCAGACTTACTGCAACAGTAAATTCAGCTTTCAGTGACTGATGAGAGAACTTGCAGCTGTATTGCCAAGTTGCTGCACTAGAAGTTTTGAATTACTTCTGGCTCAAAAAGGCTGTGCTTTCATCTTTTGTGTAGGCTCTTGCTCCTGGTTTTGCAGTCCTTTTTAATCCATATATTTCTAGTCACTTGATAAATGTTTTCCTATTTAGTTTTTGACAGATTTGTTGTTACTAAATGGTTAGTTAGGGTAAATAAACAAGATGTAAATTTAATTTAAATATTATCTCTAATTTCTCATGTGGTAGATATTAACAGTTCAATTGAGTGCTAAGATTTCTACATGTATTTAAGCAGACACAAAGACCAAAGGCTTGTTTGGCCCAATAACCTGTCTAACACTAGTGAAAAGTGGTTGTCAAGAGAAAGACATGAGAGCAGCTGCACATACACAGTACTTCCAGTGTTCATCTCTTCTCTGACCACAGGTAACTCAGGGGCTTCTCAACTCAAACATGGTTCTTTTTCTGGAGTAAGAAGTAATAGATTTAAATCCTGTGAACTTCTTATGTCTCCTCAGAGCTGTGTCAGTTTCTAATAGCCACAAAATCCTGTGGGGAAGAAGTTTCACTGCTTAACTCTGTACAGCCTGAAGAACCCACTTTTCCTTTTGTTTTGAGCTTGGTTCCTGTTGATTTTGATGTCCCTTATTTCTTGTGTTGAACGCAGCAGCAAATAAGTGATGCCCATAGAAAAGAGCTGTCTCTTGAGGTCTGAAGTGCTCAGTTCTGATATGTCCAGAGCTATGCGGAAGTACAATTCAGAAGTCACTATCTGCATAGGGATCTTTAACCACACTCTTTCTATGAGTGGTATGCTGTACAGTGCTTTTTTTCCTGGAAACACTAAGTTCAGCTGTTTCATGACCAGAGTTCCAGACATGCAGAGTAGACTCTGTAAAAAACATAATTCACCCTGGCGTATACCAGTTTTTATGTGGCTTTCTTTTGGGTAATTTGAAGAAATATGAAAGCCCTAGGCCTGCAACCATGTCACATGGTGCTGCCCTACTCATTCATTCTTCATTCCTTCACTACTGAAGAAGTTCTTATTCCCTCTTTACCCGCAAACATTACAGATATTTATAGATCAGAAGGATTTTTGTGGGTTTTGTTTGTTGTGGTTTTTTTAAAGGAATGAAATCACTGTCAGTAAAAACATTTTCTCCCTGTATCTAATCACTGTTAAGTGGAAGAGAAAGAACATCCATCTAGACATGAGCAACTAGGAGACTACAGAAGCCAGAGGACTCTAAAGGAGAAATCTATGCATGAAAATCTGGCTGTAACTTGTTGCACTCTATGTCAGTATTACAAAGCAGTGGAGTACAGAAGGGAGATTAGCTGATGACATGCTATATGCATGCAGGCTGTCCTAGCTCCAGCCTGATCATGTGTGCTGAATGACTCTTGAGTGGTTGAAGTTATTCAGGTGCCCTTCTGGTACGTCTGTCCTGGCTGAACTGCAGTTGAAAAAACTCTGGTTTATGAGCTGCAGGGTTGCTTTACAGTGTGAACAGAAGCACGGTAAGTGGGAGAGATCAGGAGATTTCCTTCAGAAGTGCAGCTCTGCTGCAAACTGAAGTGCAATGTATATACACTTACAGGGCTTTCAAAGCATGTGAATGTCTAGAAGAAGACAGCCGCATAAAGAGTCCTTCCCTAGTTTCAGCAACTTTGCTCTTGTATACACCAACCTTGCTGAACACGTACTTTAACCTTGAGAAGGTAAAGAGCTGAAGGCAATAAACGACTTCACTAAATTAACCGTTATTTTGAATTACACTGCTACTAACTGGGAGCTGTGACAATAGATTTGTTACTCTATTCAGAGATCTTTTCCTCTCAAAAAGTGAAAATGTTGAAGCCCACAATGACTAAAGCTTCAAAGTGGGGCACGGTAGTGCTAGAGAGTGTGTATTGTTAGAGAGATCATGTAGCTTAAAGGTACTAGTGTAACAGCATACTACTACATACTAATTTTTGAAGTTTAGAAAAGAAAAACCTATTTTGGTGAAATCAATTACCTAAGAAAGCTTACACTGTGGTTTTTTTAGGGTTTTGACTTAAGGAACTTTCCAAAGCTGGAGTCACTTGTGTCTTAAGTTTGTGCAATGTAGTACATTTTTCATAGTCACTTGGTTATGGGAATGTCCAAGACAATCACAAAAAACATCAGTTATGATTTGGAAACCTGTAAGAATTCAGATCTTTTCATCAGTCACCATGCTAATATTATTACTTATTTCAAGTTGTGGGCTAGTTGTTTTGTACTGATATTTATTCTGCAGCTCAGTTCTATAAATATTTAGCTTTCCCACCAGCATTGCAAGTTCCTTGATGCTTATTGAGTATTTGCATTTTGGCTATTCTGTTCTTAACTTCTTTAACTCTTAACTATATGCTTGGTACCTGCCACTGTGAAGAAGATGCTTGTAACCACACTGTTTCCTGTCCAAGGCACAGGAAACCTTGCGTCTTTATTTGCATTTCTGACTGCGAGAATCCAGTAGGTTAAAGAAATCCCACTGTTTCCTCAGATCATGACAGGTGTGTCAGAGAAGTCACTTTACATATTCATTTCTCTTTTCAGCCACCAGTGCCTCAAACTACAGCACAAGAAAACTGATGCATAAAAAAAAAAAAGAATCATTGAAAGTGTGGTAAAGATTCCCAGACAACATAATTTTTTCTTCTTCTTCAGATGTAGGTGCAAGAAACTACAGGCATTTCTGTGCTGTTTATTACAACAAGAGCCCGGGCTTTGAAATTATCCACGGTCTGCTGGACAGGGTCATGCAGCTCCTCGAAGTTCCACCAAATGAAGAGAATGGCTACACCATCAAGGCAGCTGAAGGTAAGGAAGACAGAGCTGCAGTGTACAGCAGAGGTTGTTCTGGAGATCAAATGTTCCTCTACAATCTGAAGTGAACTTTTGGTTGTTCTCAGCATCAGGCAACTAAGGATTAATATTATTATGTATGGTATCATACTGCAGTATGATGAAATGATAATGAAAAGGCATTAACTGCATTCATTGATTGTAAAATAGTATTGTTGTCTTTCTGTGAGCTATTCTGAGTAGTTTTATGTAAATAGCGAGTTGACAGTTAAAGGAAACGTAGTAAAGCATATGCCATGAGCTTCATGGTCTGTTTATAATGAATTAATCACCTGATTGCAAGGGTAGGTAGGAGGTCGTTGAACTAACGAATATGCCAGGTACTCACTGTTTTCTCTTTGGTTAACAGTGCCTGGAAAAGACTACTTCTTACACCTGATCATTTAATTTACAGCTTTATCTATAGCTTTTATTCATGTTTACTTTTATTTATATATTCATATGAACATATATACTTTATGTATCTTTTTTTCATAGATAGACCTGCTGTCTTTGAGCCTGAACCTGCTACATAGACAAATAGTTGTATAACAGCCCACTTCCTTCTCCATACAGTTACATATGAATTAAAAATGACATCCTTAAGTGCAAAATCTCCTCTGTGTACGTGCATATGCACGTAAGAGAGAAAGCAAGCAGGTTGACCCCATTCATTGAGAGTGCATAGGTTGATGCAAGAGAGCAAGCATCAGCAACTAATCTATTCTATATATTCTCTAACAACAGTGTAGTCAATACAATATAGAAAGGCAAGAAAAGCAGGGATAGCAGCTATGATTTTGCTTACACATCATGACTCGAATCAGCTTGAAGAAGTCCCTCCATTCTGCACTTACTAGAAAAAATGGCACTGACAGAAAGTCCCTGACAGCCTGACTGAGCCTGCCTATTCATAGAACTTTAATGAAAAATTGTTAGATGTTTCCCTGTTTTGCAGTGCACTGCCAAGGCGCCAAACATCACACTTCAACTAAGTGGTCTCCTAGCACTTTAATGCACATTTGTGTCATAATGCTGACATACTTTTTTTCATCCTGTTTTTTGACAAAGTAGTTTTGCTCAGTGTTACTTAGGCAGACTTTCAAAGGGTTTATTAGAATATTGTTGACAGGATTCCCAGATTGACCAAAGGAGTGTTTAAACAATTGTACTTCTTGTTCTAATTCTGCCAAGCGCAGAACAGATAATACCAAAGCTTCTTACTTGGAAAGGGAGTGCTGTGGGAGGGTTAGACGTGCCTCTGGGAGTTCTGTACTCAGCTGTTACTGAAGTCAAACCAAACTGTTAGATTCCTTTTCATAACCCTCCTGTAGCTCATTTTTTAATAGTGTTCTGGTTCCAGACATATGAAGAGTTTGCTTTAGTACTGAAAATATTTGCAAGTGGTTTGTATTCTGTACTGTAGCATTTCAATGATGTGTGGCTGGCTTTGAGAAACTGGAAAAAAGACCTCAAAAAATAATCCTAACAGCAGAGAAGCTATTTCTAGATGTTAGTGCTATTCAGTATTCCTGGGAATGCAGGGATTTGTAGTGCCCATTCGAAGTCCCTGCATTCCCATGACATTACTCTACGATACATTTAGTGTAAAGGATGGATTATGCCTTGTCATATGCAATATATTACAAGCAGTTTGTGGCTTTTGGCTATAGACCAAAAAAAGAAAAAAGTGCCTACTACTTTCTGTTTCACCAGTGATACGGAAAATCTCCTGGGGTGGCATGTAGATTTTCAGTTCTACTGACATCAGAATTTAACCTTGGTAACAATGCAGATGGCTGGTACTCTGATGTCACAGTGAATGAAGTGTCAACTGCACCAACTTACTTAAAAGACCTTCACTGCAGAGATGGTTGGAAATTGAAGTAGTTTGAGGGATTCTGTTTGGTTTTAGGTTTTTGTTGATTTGAAATGTTTGGGGTTTTTTAAAACTTCATTTGCAGTCTGTCAGTTGAGCATTTGTGAGAGAGAAGATGTCAGCAGCTATCAGAGCAAGGCCAGTTGCTGAGTGGGAAAAACAAAAAAGATACCCTGTAACATCTTACATGACTGCAGGACACTGAAATAATTCAGAACAGTGCAAGTTACTTCAGAGATTTTAAATCAGAACTTGACACGTGGCATGGATTTTTAGATGCATCTTTATGGAGCATGCTTTTTTATTGCCTGTGCCAAATTACAAATTTGTACACTGAGAAGTGGTTTATCCTATGACTCTGATTTAGAAAGAGCTTAGATATTTTTTCTGTATGTGATCTTAAGCAAAACTTTTGACTAGTAAGTGACACAGTGTAAAGGTAGGGTTTTAGTCCAGCTGGTTTTTTTCCTTGTGTAATTGATTAACATAGTTCCAGTCATCACTGGAAAACAATATAGGCAAAAAAAAAAAAATTGTTTTAAATAAGCAACAAAGAACTGATAGAGATGCATTGGGCATGTATTTGCCTCTTTTCCAAATTCACTTTGAAAAATGAAATGCCTGCACTATAGTCCTGTTTGGTCCATATGTGCAAATCATGGTTATTTAAGCTCCTTCTGTTCCACTAACACCTAAGTGCCCTGTGATTTGACCTTAAGGTCAGAATCTTTTTGCCTTTATAGCAACACCTGTGAAAAAAAGTACAGCTGCTAGAAAATATGGGTGAAATTGTGATGTTCCCCTGGCCTTTGCACTACACTTTGGTGTAATCTGAGCTAGCTAATAAATGAAGAGCTGTGTAGAGCAGCCTCAAGGAAGAGAGGGTTCTAACTGAATTCACAGATTTCAGTGTACATTTGGCACTCGGTGCTTTTCAGTTTCTTAAAGTTACCAATGGAACCTTTTGTTTGTTTCTTATTACCACTAAATATACAAAATGACAGATTCTTAAAGACAGAACTGTGAAATGCTACCCATTGTTTCAAAATGCACGGACTTTTTTATACATTAGTGAATCCTACAGTAACTGACTTAGAAAAGCATTTTGGTTTGGTGGTGTTTTTTTTGGTTGTTTTATAGCATAGGCATCCATAATCGAACATAGGTTGAAGAGAGTACAATTATTGCATCAATCCTCAAATTTATATGTGCCCCAAAACAAAAATTTTTGCTTAAAACTCTTGAAATTTTAGCTAGCTCTGTACCATTAATGGAACGTAAAGATCTGTATGGATGTGTACATTTACAAGGCAAACAAAATCAAACTTATTAAACAATAAAAAAAATGGGTAGGAAGAGCCAACAAATTTGGTCATATATTGTCAGGTAATTTAATAAAATCATGTATTTTTGAGTTTACTTTCATTGATTTCAGTTCCCTTGGATTGAAAACTAGAGGCATTCTGATAACTGTCTTGGAAGGTAATTTTAATTTCAAGCAGGAATGAGTATGTTTTTAGCAACACCTTAGTAAATGCATATTAAGTCTTGCTTTGTTCAGTAATTGACAGTTGTTGAAAAAGGAGAAATTGCACTCCCTTCTTTTTACTGCCCTTGTTTAATTAAATGAAAGGTGTGGTAAAATGTAGAAAATTTTAATTCCACAGTAAATCACAGTAATAGGTTTTCATTTAGTAAGGTTTAGCTGTGAAATCAGAGGTGTAATAGTTACCTCCATAACTAAGAACATCAATAAACATTTGTTTTCATAATAATAATTATACAACAGACAATTTTAAAAGAAGATTTAAACTGTGAACTTCAATTTGCAAGACAAGAGGAAGAAAGTCTGGCACTAATTCAGAGCTACACGTATAGCATTGACTATCTCTGGGATCAGTTTAAACTGGGAGACTGATGTTGAATACCCTGTTGAACTTGGCATTATTAATACCCGTTTTATTTTAAGGAACTGTAGCTTGATTGCTCTTAATGGCAATGCTGGCCTTTCTGTTGCCTGGCTTGGCAGCCATTACACTGTTCCTAAATGTCAATAACTGTCTATTTACTAGATAACTAAAGGAAATGTGCCAATGTTACTACGAAGCCATCAAATACCATTTGTGCCATAGTAGAAGATATCAGTCAATACTTAATCTATTTAATTGTTGTTCAAATATAGATACTTTACAGGTGCTATTGCATCCTTGAAACTGTATTTGCAGTCTCAAATTACAAATTTGTCAGATAATCAGAATTGTTTGACAACATCTGTTTTCAAAAAAAAAAAAATAAATCTGCTGGTTCTACTTGTTTATCAAATTGTTCTTGAAGATCTCCCAGTCTTCCAGTCCTTTTTTCTGTTTATTTTTTAACTCTCCCTCAGAGTCAGCTTCATTCATTAACACTAAAAGGTAAGGACATGTTTGTTGATTTTTTAATTTTTTTTTTAAATCTGACTGATTTTAGTACTTTTAAATGTATTACCCTAGCTCTACAAGGGGTTTCAAGAGTTCCAGCGCTGATCATTACAATTGCTTAATTATAGGGCATCATACAAAATTTGATGTTTGTCACTAGTTCCCATGGCTTTTGCACTGTTGGCCACTACTTTAAGATCTAATTAATTTCTAATTAATTTCTCATTCTTTTCTCTTGAGCAGTTTTCCCTGCAGCATCAAGGGAGCTTAGTTATGTGAAAAACTAAGGTTCTAACAACTCAGACTATTTAATAAAATGGCTGTGGCTGCTCGCTTAGTGTCACTTTAGTTGTCTGTTATCTCTGCACTTTATTTCCTTCCAGTAAATTCAGGATTTTAGATTTATAGGAACTAAATCCCTACAAACTTAGGCCAAGTTTATTTCTGTCTTAACAAGTACTTTTCCACACTAGTGCTGATACCTCAGATTTGGTTGTAACTGGATTAACACCCAGGGAGGTACCTGGCAAAGATCTGAACCAGGAAGGTTGCTTATATTATTTAAGCATCTGAAGCGGGAGTCTACAGTGTTTGGAGTTTCCCCAGGTAAACATGGTTTATAAAACTGACAGGACACTATAGCACTTGACATCTCAGAGGTGTCTTTGCTGTTGCAA